AAACAGCTCAATACACAAAAAACCCAAACAAGCAGCTCAATACACAAGAAACCCCAACAAACAGCTCAATACACAAGAAACCCCAACAAACAGCTCAATACACCAGAAACCCCAACAAACAGTTCAATAAACAAACAACCCCAACAAACAGCTCAATACACAAGAAACCCCACCAAACAGCTCAATACACAAAAAAACCCAACAAACAGCTTAATACACAAGAAACCCCAACAAACAGCTCTATACACAATGAACCCCAACAAACAGCTCAATACACAAGAAACTCCAGCAAACAGCTCAATACACAAGAAACCCCAACAAACAGCTCAATACACAATGAACCCCAACAAACAGCTCAATACACAATGAACCCCAACAAACAGCTCAATACACACTCAAAAACCAACAAACAGATAAATACACACAAAAAAACCAACAAACAGCTCTATACACAAGAAACCCCAACAAACAGCTCAATAATCAACAAACCCCAACAAGCAGTTCAATACACAAGAAACCCCACCAAACAGCTCAATACACAAGAAACCCCAACAAACAGCTCATTACACAAGAAACCCCAACAAATAGCTCAATACACAAAAAACCCAACAACCAGCTCCATACACAAGAACCCCAACAAACAGCTCAATACACAAGAAACCCCAACAAATAGCTCAATACACAAAAAACCCAACAACCAGCTCCATACACAAGAACCCCAACAAACAGCTCAATACACAAGAAACTCTAGCAAACAGCTCAATACACAAAAAACCCCAACAAACAGCTCAATACACAAGAAACCCTTACAAACAGCTCAAAACACAAGAAACCACAACAAACAGCTCAATACACAATAAACCTTAACAAACAGCTCCATACACAAGAAACCCCAACAAAGAGCTCAATACACAAGAAACCCGAACAAACATCTCAATACACACAAAAAATCCAACAAACAGATCAATACACAAGAAATCCCAACAAACAGCTCAATTCACAAGAAACCCCTACAAACAGCTCAATACACAAGAAACCCCAACAAACAGCTCAATACACAAGAAACCCCTACAAACAGCTCAATACACTCAAAAAACCCAACAAACAGTTCAATACATAAGAAACCGCAACAAACAGCTCAATACACACTCAAAAACCAACAAACAGATAAATACACAAATAACCCAACAAACAGTTCAATACATAAGAAACCGCAACAAACAGCTCAATACACACTCAAAAACCAACAAACAGATAAATACACAAATAACCCAACAAACAGCTCAATACACAAGAAACCCCAACAAACAGCTTAATACACAAGAAACCCCAACAAACAGCTCAATACACAAGAAACTCCAGCAAACAGCTCCATACACAAGAAACCCCACCAAACAGCTCAATAAACAAGAAACCCAAAAAAACAGTTCAATACACAAGAAATCCCAACAAACAGCCCGATACATACAAAAAAACCCAACAAAAAGTTCAATAAACAAACAACCCCAACAAACAGTTCAATTAACAAACAACCCAAACAAACAGCTGAATACACAAGAAACCCCAACAACAGATCAATACAAAAGAATCCAAAACAAACAGCTTAAAACACAAGAAACCCAAACAAACAGCTCAAAACACAAGAAACCCCAACAAACAGCTCAAAACACAAGAAACCCCAAGAAACAGCTCAAAACACAAGAAACCCCAACAACAGATCAATACAAAAGAATCCAAAACAAACAGCTTAAAACACAAGAAACCCAAACAAACAGCTCAATACACAAGAAACCCCAGCAAACAGCTCTATACACAATGAACCCCAACAAACAGCTCAATATACAAGAAACCCTAACAAACAGCGTAATACACAAGAAACCCTAACAAGAAGATCAATACACACATAGCCCATACAACAGATCAATATAGAAGAAACCCTAACAAACAGCTCAATACACAAAAAACCCAACAAACAGCTCAATACACAAGAAACCCCACCAAACAGCTCAATACACAAGAAACCCCAACAAACAGCTCAATACACAAGAAACCCCAACAAATAGCTCAATACACAAAAAACCCAACAAACAGCTCCATACACAAGAAACCCCAACAAACAGCTCAATACACAAGAAACTCTAGCAAACAGCTCAATACACAAAAAACCCCAACAAACAGCTCAATACACAAGAAACCCTTACAAACAGCTCAAAACACAGGAAACTACAACAAACAGCTCAATACACAATAAACCTTAACAAACAGCTCCATACACAAGAAACCCCAACAAAGAGCTCAATACACAAGAAACCACAACAAACAGCTCAATACACAAGAAACCCGAACAAACATCTCAATACACACAAAAAATCCAACAAAAAGATCAATACACAAGAAATCCCAACAAACAGCTCAATTCACAAGAAACCCCTACAAACAGCTCAATACACAAGAAACCCCAACAAACAGCTCAATACACAAGAAACCCCTACAAACAGCTCAATACACTCAAAAAACCCAACAAACAGCTCAATACACACTCAAAAACCAACAAACAGATAAATACACAAATAACCCAACAAACAGCTCAATACACAAGAAACCCCAACAAACAGCTTAATACACAAGAAACCCCAACAAACAGCTCAATACACAAGAAACTCCAGCAAACAGCTCCATACACAAGAAACCCCACCAAACAGCTCAATACACAAGAAACCCAAAAAAACAGTTCAATACACAAGAAATCCCAACAAACAGCCCGATACATACAAAAAAACCCAACAAACAGTTCAATAAACAAACAACCCCAACAAACAGTTCAATTAACAAACAACCCAAACAAACAGCTGAATACACAAGAAACCCCAACAACAGATCAATACAAAAGAATCCAAAACAAACAGCTTAAAACACAAGAAACCCAAACAAACAGCTCAATACACAAGAAACCCCAACAAACAGCTCAAAACACAAGAAACCCCAAGAAACAGCTCAAAACACAAGAAACCCCAACAACAGATCAATACAAAAGAATCCAAAACAAACAGCTTAAAACACAAGAAACCCAAACAAACAGCTCAATACACAAGAAACCCCAGCAAACAGCTCTATACACAATGAACCCCAACAAACAGCTCAATATACAAGAAACCCTAACAAACAGCGTAATACACAAGAAACCCTAACAAGAAGATCAATACACACATAGCCCATACAACAGATCAATATACAAGAAACCCTAACAAACAGCTCAATACACAAAAAACCCAACAAACAGCTCAATACACAAGAAACCCCAACAAACAGCTTAATACACAAGAAACCCCAACAAACAGCTCAATACACAAGAAACTCCAGCAAACAGCTCCATACACAAGAAACCCCACCAAACAGCTCAATACACAAGAAACCCCAAAAAACAGTTCAATACACAAGAAATCCCAACAAACAGCCCGATACATACAAAAAAACCCAACAAACAGTTCAATAAACAAACAACCCCAACAAACAGTTCAATTAACAAACAACCCAAACAAACAGCTGAATACACAAGAAACCCCAACAACAGATCAATACAAAAGAATCCAAAACAAACAGCTTAAAACACAAGAAACCCAAACAAACAGCTCAATACACAAGAAACCCCAACAAACAGCTCAAAACACAAGAAACCCCAAGAAACAGCTCAAAACACAAGAAACCCCAACAACAGATCAATACAAAAGAATCCAAAACAAACAGCTTAAAACACAAGAAACCCAAACAAACAGCTCAATACACAAGAAACCCCAGCAAACAGCTCTATACACAATGAACCCCAACAAACAGCTCAATATACAAGAAACCCTAACAAACAGCGTAATACACAAGAAACCCTAACAAGAAGATCAATACACACATAGCCCATACAACAGATCAATATACAAGAAACCCTAACAAACAGCTCAATACACAAAAAACCCAACAAACAGCTCAATACACAAGAAACCCCAACAAACAGCTTAATACACAAGAAACCCCAACAAACAGCTCAATACACAAGAAACTCCAGCAAACAGCTCCATACACAAGAAACCCCAACAACAGATCAATACAAAAGAATCCAAAACAAACAGCTTAAAACACAAGAAACCCAAACAAACAGCTCAATACACAAGAAACCCCAGCAAACAGCTCTATACACAATGAACCCCAACAAACAGCTCAATATACAAGAAACCCTAACAAACAGCGTAATACACAAGAAACCCTAACAAGAAGATCAATACACACATAGCCCATACAACAGATCAATATACAAGAAACCCTAACAAACAGCTCAATACACAAAAAACCCAACAAACAGCTCAATACACAAGAAACCCCAACAAACAGCTTAATACACAAGAAACCCCAACAAACAGCTCAATACACAAGAAACTCCAGCAAACAGCTCCATACACAAGAAACCCCACCAAACAGCTCAATACACAAGAAACCCCAAAAAACAGTTCAATACACAAGAAATCCCAACAAACAGCCCGATACATACAAAAAAAACTAACAAACAGTTCAATAAACAAACAACCCCAACAAACATCTCAATACGCAAGAATCCTCAACGAACAGCTCAATACACAAAAAACCCAAGATGTCCTTTTATGGTATTGTTTACTACCATGAACTCATTTTTGATCATCAATAGTTTTTAGTATATGATTAACAAAAATTGGATCCTATATCAATAAATAGGTGTTATTTTCTCCTCGAACTTTTGACCTTAGATAATACATTGATAAACCTCCGATACAAGATGTTGGGCGACTTTCGAATTCACGGTTGACAAATTGATAACACCTCATCAGGCATTATAATCTCTTTGGCTTTTAACCCCTGGAATAAAATATCCTAGGTCGATAGGAGCTCTTGTGTTATCGAACTTCTGTGTAATATATCTGTCATTTCTTTTCTGAAATTTAAGTCATTTCATTATGTCTAATGTTCTTTATGTTTTTCAGTCCGTCTTCAAAACGGGAAGACCTATCGTTCGGGCATGGTGCAGCAACTGGTGGGAAATGACTGGAAATTCTTATGTGGAGATGCGTGCTGGACAAACAAAACTGCTAATGTCACCTGTAACGAGCTAGGGTTCCAGTATATATATATATGTTCATCTAATTGTATTCTTTGTATAGGCCTATATAAGCAAAAAATATATTAACGTTATAAAAATATAAAGGTCTAATTTAGACTGTAAAATGAGGATCGCTGCAGAATCTTTATAAATTGATTTAATGTGAAATAAAGAAAATCTCGAAGCAGTAGACATTATGTTTCAAATCTTAAATTATAGGGATGATTATGACAACTGAATTATTTATGACAATATCTTATGAAATTAATTCGGAATTTTATCAAATAAGGAAGAGCGGAGACCAATTTCTCTATAATTAAATACCATTTGAAACAGATATTACAGTGGATAGATGAGAGAATGAAGTTGTACAAATAACGTCGTTGCGGCTACCATATGTAATTGAAGAAAGAACGGAAAAAATTCAACCTAATGACAAACAATATGCAAATCGTTATCTCTCGAGCTAGAGGTTTTCGACATTTTTACTTCAATTTCATTTTGCATTCTGGTCTTATCTACGTGAACAATGTGACGTCAGATGTATTCGGTGAATATTTAATAAAATACTATTGTCTTACCTTTCTGTTATGTATTATCTCATTCTATTTGTTTTTAATTCTCGATCGTTTCTTGCACATTTATTAATATCGAGCTGTCGAATTGTTTTTATGTGGATATCAGACATGAAAGTTATCATACTAGTAGTCATGATATTTTGTCTGTAGATATAATTGACTGTCAAAGATTTTGTTAATGAGTAAGCAATATTTGGCGGGAATTTAAAACATTTATTTTTGTTTTAGTACCAACAGAAAACCATAAATAACAAGCAGACATACACAACTTCTATTAATTTGATTTTGATACATTTCAATTTTTTTAATAAATATATTGCTTTCTTTCATAATTTAGGTTTTTAGCATTGCTGACGAGTCGTAGAAGGATGAAACAGTTGTATGGCGCAGTTTTATGGGGTTTTTCTTTCATTTGTTCATTTCTAGTAAAATATGTCCATTCACTTATGTCTACAATCTTCGACAATGCAAGTGATAGACACTGCTGGTGGAATTTTAATCCCCGAGGTTTGCCATATCCTTCATGTCACGTTTGAATTCGTTCAAATGGTGGCAAGGATAAGAATCCTGTAAAACGTGCATCCTTTAGGGGTCATCTTATATTATCGCATTTTACGCCGAATGTATTGTAATTAAATATGACTGCGCTGATGCTAGGTTCTGCATGTTGATTTGATAGCAATTATCTTGGTTGCGCTAATCTATCTTTGTTCTAAAAAAAACTTAAGTTTGACCGCAACAAATAAATTACGTTTACAGTACACATAAACCTGACTTTCTTCTAGAAAAATCAGACAAAATTATCTCGAAATTTATCATATTATTTGTATAGTGTAACTCTCCCGATACATTTTGACATTCACCTTGGATTTTATTTCCTCTAGTTTATTTACTTTGGGTTTGCATGACGATTCGGACAATTTTTACGTTATTCCTGATTCTATAAATATATTAATGTAACCTACGAGAATGCTGTGTGCAATGGAGTTTAGCAGGTTACGTTTACGATGTTTAGGTCAAGTTGAAGAACATACTTAACTGACTTTAATATTGAGTGTGTTGTCATGTTTATCAATTATTGTTAGCAACATATACATGTATAAAAATACTGACTAGCATGCAAACTGAATTCAACAATTTTTTCAAAATGAACTAAGTGAATTATTTATCATTTTTGCATTATTATCATTTATTGTATTGTATTTATCTTGCAAATATTTTCAAACATCACCTCGGCGAACTCGAGTTATTGCTGTTGCGACAATATACATTAAGGTTATCATCTTCTAACATTCTATCACATTTGAAGTCTTTGGTGGCCAAAGAATGAAGCTACAAGTTTGTTGACTGGATATTTATAACACAATAAATGCCATATATGTTATTACACTAATCATAGCGATGGTGTTATAATGAATTGTTTGAACGTGAACGAGTATCGAACGAGCAGTCGGGAAACCGATATGATCGAAGTTTTTTCCCCCGATTAAAACAATAAAGCCAAATCAGTTGGTATAATAACCGATTGTGTTACAGTTGAACAACTGCAATGTACATATTGGATTAAATACAATTGTTTTTGTAGGGAGGGAATAAGACCAAATGTAAATACAATCATGAATGGTAATCACACTCCTGCAAAATACCAATGTAAAGGTGACGAAAAACATCTAAGAGAGTGTCAATTCATCAGCGAATGTTTTCAATGTCAACACGTGGCTGAAGTCGAATGTCTAGGTAACAACACCTTCATACAAATGTATATAGATTTCAGATTTATTTTGTGTAATTAAGAAGTAATATTATAACTGAAAGCGCGAATTATATCACGAATACAAAAGTTGTCTAATACAACTTGCTTAATATGACCTTCGAACCAGTTTTGTTTGTATTTTCTGTTCGAGTTCTAGAAGGACGAAACAGCTGTTGACTGGATACGTTTTGATAATCTGTATTTCATTCTAAATTTTTTGCAAGTTGGTATGCATTTAATATTTCATACACAATACAGCGTCGCTAACAGTTGCGAGTAGTATCTATACTGGGAAAAAACTTCGAGGTATCGAGAACATACCATACTCTTTCCATTGCTTTTATGCCCAAATAAATAACTTTATTGTATTCTTCTTAACAGGTGACGTACGTCTGAATGATATTACCACCGACAAACACAGAGTTGAAACTTTACGGAAAAATGCGGACGGTAAATTTACATGGGGAAGTCTTTGTAGTACATGTTGGACGGGTAACAACACACATGTAGTATGTAAACAGTTTGGATTCGGGTAAGTCGTGTGGCCACGGTACTTTTGTTTTGGGGAGACGTCCACCTGTACCAAAACACGTTAATCATTACCTGTAAAATTGGTTAGGGGCAATAAGTGATTGTAAAATACGTTAGACATCCAGTATCATCTCCCAGCTAAAGATCCTGAAGATTATGTTTTACTGTCGTCGTAGTGAGCTCTCCAGAAATATTCTATATCTTTGTGCAACATTAAGTTTGAAGTGTTTAAGCTTGAAGCGTTGAAGTCTATTTGTATGCAATAGTTCCATAGTAGTTTACCTTGTTCTCATTTAACAAAATGACATCATATATTTGGATTAAGATGCCTACCTTTCCGGAATATCTGGTCTTATTCTTCATGTAGATCTTTCTTTTGTTCTTCTTTTCCATAGGTTTGTGTTTGTATTACGATTCTGTTATCAAGTCGGCGGTTCATTGTAGATTTTTTTTAGAGATATCTTGCTAGCCTGTATATGTCTGCCTCAAAACCTTTTCTGCAACCTTTTGATTTTTGTTCACATTCCACTGATGACAATAAACATTGGCCGGTTCACTAGTTTTACCGCTACTTTAACATAGATTCCTATTATCCTCTTAGAAAGTACTCCTGAAATAAATAGCTTTGAAAAAATGGTACCAGATTATTTCCTCGCCAATGAATAATCTATTTTCTAAAAGATTCTTTTGAGAAGCTGACTGGGGCTGTCATAGTAACTTCTGGAAATATTCAAATTGTTTCCTTTCAACAGGTCTGGAACAACAGTTGATGCTGGCTTGTCGAATGGAACTAGATGGATGCATGTCCAGTTTAAGTGCATTGGCAACGAAAAACATCTCTCTAATTGCCATACCCTCAAGGAGCACTGTGTTAACTGTAAACACGATGCTGGAGTAATGTGCTCTCATAACGGTAAACATTAATAACATATTGTTCAAAGCGTATTATTTCCCACGATATCATAATAACTTCTTATCCTTGTTAGAACATGTTAACAATTTGTCGTATTTTTTATCAGGATGAGTTCGAGGATATTACGAAATTGTCTGTAATTTTTGTTTGATTTCAATCATAATTTGATTCGTGATTGTGGAGACTGACATTTTTAAGAGGGGGAAATATTGTTTTTGCGAATAGATTTATCCATAATTTTTTGTATGAAAAGTTTTTTCCTTTACGAAAAGAAATTTAATCAGTTTTGTCGAGGAATCTAACTTCCGGTTAATTGACGGTCATGTGAGGTAGTTCTTTGTTAATACACCCAACGACCATTGCGTGTTTTTATTGTCTTAAATATATTTTCTGTCTCCATGTTTTATGCTGAAATATGATAATTTTCATATTTTGATAATTATCAAATATTGCTTATTTTATTTCAGAACAAAGTTATGACGAAAAATGTGACAACAGTAGAAGTTGTAAGAATGGGTTAGCTTGCCAGAATTATACATGCAAATGCAAAAACGAATCCAGATCATTCTGGAATGATGACGATTTGAAATGCACTAGAAGTAAGAGCCAAATCGCGGTGGTTTTTCAGCATTTTATCACAATTACGAGTATGATAACATTAATAATATCAAATCCGGAGCCAGAAATAAGGGAACATTTGTATTTCGATTACATTTGCGAATTTGTTTTAATTTTTGCTATACGTTGAAACGGTTGGAATAAATATGTTAAAAATCACGAAGGGATGTCCTCATTAGTAATTGTTTTAATTAATCCCAGAAAAAGACTTACAGTAAGCGACAAATTTCAGCAGATTTTCTACGACATATATGGGATAGGTGCCTGTCAAAAAATCATCCTCTCCCAACAGGGCCTGTTTAATGATCTTTTTTAAAACTTTTACTACCTCATCAGATCGTCATGTTTCTATTTGTTTAGGATGGTGTATTTTATTTTACATTTCTTGAAAAACAACAAGAAAATAGCAACATGTGAACATAATCATAAACTCAAATTCAATTTAAAAAAAATAGGGCAAAACATGAACAAAACAAAGTTATGAACCGACACTCCTGAAAAAGTACAAAGAGAGTAAGACCTGGTATTGCGGAAGAGTTAGCGTCTTCTGTTTATCGACAACACCAGCTATGTAAATCTTGGTCAATCCAAGAAAGAAATGTTAGGTTCTCAAATGATAACAAATGCATACAACAACGAAATCAAATTGCTTTCAAATTCATCTTATTTCAAAAAAAAAATGTGGAAAGGCATGTGGTAAAAACCTTCCTTGTCAGGACAGTTTGGTATGTCAAACCAATATCTGCAAATGTAAAAACGAATCCAGATCATTCTGGAATGTGGACGTAATGGAATGTACTAGAAGTAAGTGTCTTTTTAGGGAAAGTGTTTCCTACCTCTCTTATTTTTCTTCATATGAAATTGGTCATAACGTAAACATATGTGTTTCTGGTGTTTCTAATCATGGATTGTGTGATTTGTTATAAGTTTATGTTGATGTTTTATCTGTCAAAATAAATCAAAAGGATTTTACTTAGTCGACGATATGCTATATGCTATTTTTGGTTTTGTTTTTTGTTTATTTGTTTTGCTTTGTTTTTGTTTTCCTTAATATGCATGGCAGTCAAGCTGTATACCAAGTCAATCATTCGTGTTAATCGAAAGTAAAGAAAAAATAAAGGCTGCGATAACTGCATGGTACGAGAATCTTGATAATACAATGAAATTACGGTTTATTTAATAGAACTGAATTTCAACGAGACATGTACGGGCAAGACAAGATGTATCCATGGTCTGGTCTGCAAACATACAGAAAGAAATGTCTGTAGATGTGAGGATGAACTTCAGACTTTTTGGAACGTCGAGGAAAACATGTGCACCCGAAGTAAGTAGAATGAGTATATATACCTACGGACCACAAACTGTGTGTCAACGAAGGCAAGATAATGTATGATCATGTTATAGATAATGTTAATCACAAAGTTTATGTTCTACTTCTCTCTCTCTCTCTCTCTCTCTCTCTCTCTCTCTCTCTCTCTCTCTCTCTCTCTCCTACTACATTGAATCATTGAACAATTTGCTGTCACATGACCTGTTATCACATGACCAACAGTTGGAGAGATAGACCTGTGTGTCTACGAAAGCTAACTCCTGTATGATGATTTTTATATCACTAGATATTCTACCATTTTTCAACTTTTCGTCGTAACTCTCTTGAATGACATAATTATTAAAAAGTAAATGCTATACGTTGATGATAAATAAGCATGTCTTCGTCATTGGTGCCTTTGAGATAAGCATAATTATGTAATGTAATAGAGTCATCTCCGTTCCTATTAAACCTGAATGTATATGATGTAAAGAATACTGTTATAATAAACAAAACCAATTAAACAATTAAACACCTGTGTAATCATGTAGTTTGAATTAACACGGTACGAAGATATGGATCGCTTCGGAATAATACATGTAGTGGACGTTACTGTCGAAAATTATTGAATCATGGGACTAGGGCACATTACCAGCTAGATTGTGATTTTTTGACCGATCACTCTGAATTTTTCTCTCTCGTTTCCTAGATTTAAACTTTAGGCCAATTGCATCACTGAGAAGTCCTAGAAGGAGCAAACAACTGTATTATACAATTCAATTCAATGCTTGACCTTCCCCTATCTTATTTAAATATGTATTAACAGGTGTTATACACTTATGTGTCGGTTGCCGAGTGGTTAAGGCGTCTGCTCGACTTGATCACTTGCCCTTCACCTCTGGTCGCGAGTTCGAGACCTACGTGGAGGCAGTCGCCACGTAGTGGCCGCAGGTCGGTGGTTTTTCTACGGAAACTCTGGTTTTCCTCCACCAACCAAGCCTTCCACGGCCCTGGCTGTTACGAAAACTAAACTAAACTTCTTTAATGCGAAACATTTTACATGTCTAGGGTCAGGTCTCGACGAAGAGTGTATATTAAGCATGAACAATAGCTGCAAGGACACTTTGGTATGCGCAGAAGGTGAATTGGGTGTCGTGTGTCGATACCAGAACGTTTCGATGCCCACGACTGAGGACGGCAGAAAAAGTTTGTACTTAAGTACTCCAAAACATCAGTTTTTCGGAAACAGGAGATTTATGCTTTTGTAACAAAATCAAACTTAATCAGTTTTCTCCAACTCTCTATCAATTAATTGCAAATTACAAAATGTCAAATGTTCTGTTCGCAAAGCAGGTCATAATCAGTGTAACAGTGTGGCTGTTATAACTATATTGGGGGAGTGTTATTTCAACATACATAGAGGTTATCGTACTATTATTCAAAGCATTCAAAGCATATCCTCAAATTAAGAACCAGGAAACGATAAATGTCGGTATGTTTGATCATTGCAGGTAAAACGTTACGACGAAGAATGTGGCAAGCAGTTTATTTGTACAGAGGGTTTGCCTCAGCAATGTTTGCAAATGTGAAAACAAAACTAGTTTATTGTAATATTTTTATGTTTTGCAAATAAACCAGTTGATATCCAAATAATTGTCTTGTGAACATTTTAACACAGATTTGAAGATATATCGGTGAGGATTCTAAGCTGTACCAGCCAATATTATTATTGTCATGTGTGCTCGTTGGTTCCCTAAGTATATGTTGTAGTCCAGAAGCATATCAAATTCATTGTTCATTTTCTGTATACCCGTACATGGCAAATTAACTGCGATCAATAGATGTCATCATTATAGTACAATGAACCTTTGTTTTATGGTAGAAAGTAATTTCAACGAGACATGTACAGACAATGCAAGCTGTGTCAATGGTTTGGTCTGCAAAGAACAAGGCATCTGTAAATGTGAGAATGAATTAATGACTTTTTGGAACGCAGAGGATAAGATGTGCACCCAAAGTAAGTTTATTGAATACATGTGTCCTAAATAAATATTGACCATAAACTGTGTCTACAAAAAGCTAAATAAAATATGATAATATTGATAACACAAATGTCATATTCTACAATGATTTTCATGCTTTTTAAAACTAACATGATAATTACATATGTCATAAATAAAAGCTCAACAATAACGTAACTAGCCCATCTTGTTCAACACAATTGAACGGTTTGACGTCACATGATCTGTAATCACATGACCAGCAGCTGTACATATATTTAAACATGTGTTAATTCATCAAATGGGGATATTCACCAGCCTCATAATGCTACATATAGAACTAGGCATGTAGTCTGTATGTCGCGTCGCGTCACATTCCGTTCCATGTCGCACCTTATGAACCTCTTAACAGATTTGGTTCCTAATAACTCCAATTATTAAAACACCTCGTTCTTCATCTGATTAGGCTTTTACAATGGAGTTGGACGTTTATGTCTTACAGACATTTGTAAATGATTTCAACTACAGCTTCCTTAAAATGAACAAACACCTTCCAGGCTTTTCATTTCTGGAATTAGGAGATCATACACGGTGGTTTTCAAGACAGATTTATTTATTGAAGTATTAAGAAACAGACGCAGCCTTATGTACGACATTTAAGCCGTTTCAACATTTTTCTACATTGAGAATTATTTCCTTACAGGATCAGGTCTCGGCGAAAGGTGCACACTAAAGATGTACGATAGCTGTAGAGAATCTTTAGTCTGTTCAGAAGATGCGTCGGGTGCCGTGTGTCGACACCAGAACGTGTCGGTAACGACAACTGGGGGCGGTAGAAAAAGTACGGTATCATATTGACAAACGATTTATATCATGTTATATTTATGTCGCATTTTCAACAACAGAGTAGCAGATTTTGTATAATGTGTATTTTTAATATATGTGCAAACATATATATATAAGTATATCCATGAAATTACTTCCAAATTTCGCCAACGGCTCAATTATCTTGATTTTTTAAATGCCTTAATCAAATAAATTTTATATCAGGATCATCCGGGTTTTATCCTCATCTACTCGTCACATCTGTTGTTATCCTCATCTACTCGTCACATCTGTTGTTATCCTCCTACTCGTCACATCTGTTGTTATCCTCATCTACTCGTCACATCTGTTATCCTCATCTACTCGTCACATCTGTTGTTATCCTCATCTACTCGTCACATCTGTTATCCTCATCTACTCGTCACATCTGTTGTTATCCTCATCTACTCGTCACATCTGTTGTTATCTTCCTCAGCTTGTCACGTCTGCTGTTATTCTCCTCTACTTATAACGTCCTATGTTAGCCTTCTCTACTTGTCACGTCTGGTGTTATTCTCCTCTACTTGTCACGTCTGGTGTTATTCTCCTCTACTTGTCACGTCTGGTGTTATTCTCCTCTACTTGTCACGTCTGGTGTTATTCTCCTCTGCTTGTCACGTCTGGTGTTATTCTCCTCTACTTGTCACGTCTGGTGTTATTCTCCTCTTCTTGTCACGTCAGGTGTTATTCTCCTCTACTTGTCACGTCTGGTGTTATTCTCCTCTTCTTGTCACGTCTGGTGTTATTCTCCTCTACTTGTCACGTCTGGTGTTATTCTCCTCTACTTGTACGTCTGGTGTTATTCTCCTCTACTTGTACGTCTGGTGTTATTCTCCTCTACTTGTACGTCTGGTGTTATTCTCCTCTACTTGTCACGTCTGGTGTTATTCTCCTCTACTTGTCACATCTGTTGTTATCCTCATCTACCCGTCACATCTGTTGTTATCTTCCTCAGCTTGTCACATTTGGTGTTAAATTTTTTAACTTGTCACGTTTGGTGTTATTCTCCTTTACTTGTCACGTCTGGTGTTATCCTCCTCTACTTGTCACGTCTGGTGTTACTATCCTCTACTTGTCATGTGATGTAGTGATGTATATCTATAATTTGTTTATATACTGAGAGGAAAAAGAGACGCAATTAGCAGAAATTTAATTTTGTAAATTAAATCTTTGACGTACACCCTTGAAACTTGACAAATGTGTGCATTTGAGTTAGGTCCCTATGGTACCGTATTAAAATCACTGATGCATAATTAAACTGCGTACGCCGCTTATACAAAAGAATAAGAGAAAACAGCGCGATATTTCGAACCCAGTATAAAGGATTGGTTCAAAATCTGTGTGTGCGAATCTTCAGAACATATCCGTCTTGATTTCCCACATTTTAAGCATAAACAGTTCACCGTAAAAAAATGCCACGACTGTCCGAAGTTGACAGGGGTCGTGCGATTGCACTTCTTATGCAAGGTACCCCACAAAATCAGGTCGCTAATCGCAAGGTACCCCACAAAATCAGGTCGCTAATCGATTTGGAGTCCATCCATGGAACATCTGCCGTCTCATCCAAAGACTACATTCCACCGGAAGGGTTGCAGACCGTTCCGAAGCAGTCGCCCTCGTGTGACGGCGGCAGAATAGGGCAATGCGACATTCACACCTACGCAATCGCTTTCTGACGGCCACGGAAACAGCAAGGAACACAATTGGGCGTCATCATGTTCCAATTGATCCAAAGACAGTGCGCACTCGACTGCGTGCCTTCGGTCTAAGACCGCGGCGGCCATATGTTGGACCACAGCTTAATGCGCGGCGACGTGCCAGACGAATGCAATGGCTGAACGCACATCCCGTAAGACGCTTCCCAATGCAACGTTGGAGAAAGATCCTGTTCTCAGATGAGTCCAGGTTTTCGCTTTACCGGGCAGACGACCGACGTCGTGTCTATAGACGTACCCACGAGCGCTATGCAGATGCTTGCGTGATAGAGAATGACCGCTTTGGAGGAGGATCGGTCATGGTATGGGGAGGGATTGCGCATGGTATCAAGACTCCTCTGGTCGTTATTCAGGGAAATCTCACGGCCGTCCGCTATAGAGATCAAGTCCTAGCGCCGCATGTTGTTCCTCTAGTACAGCAGCATCAACTGACATTTTAGCAGGACAAAGCCCGACCGCATGTAGCGAGGGTTTGCCGTGGTTATATCGCAGCAAACAATGTCCCCATCCTAAATTGGCCCCCATACAGCCCTGACCTCTCCCCAATTGAACATTTATGGGACGAGTTGGACAGAAGGAGAAGACGTAGGCCGAATCCTCCAATCAACGTCGCTCAGTTGGCGTTGGCGCTGGAAGAGGAATGGAATCGTATACCACTGAGGAGGGTTAATATCCCGATCAATTCAATGCACAAAAGAGTTCGTGCAGTTACTGCAACTCGCGGGGGGCACACACGATGTTGATGGGTCCAGAACACACTTCATTTTGAGTAGGGCACTCTTGAATCAACGTCAAATTTGAAAGGTTCACTTAACGTACACGAATGAAATTCTCGTAGATGACAGAATGGTCAATTATCTTCCAGTTACACCATAATTACATTCTAAAACCATTTTCTATTTCCCGTAGTTGACCTGGAAATTCCTAATTGCGTTTCTTTTTCCTCTCAGTATGTTTAGTTGGATGCAGTATAGTATATAACGTCCTAGTATGAAGGACTCTCTACCTTTTTGTTTGTTTGAGGTCCACCGCTTTGGCCGATTTACGTCGGAGTGACCGCTGCTGTACTGATGGTTTTACTGATAATAACAGCTTGTTGTTATAAAAGGTATGTCATTTTATGAAATGTCCATCTCATTCAGCCTGAGACTCGATATCTTATTTCAAAAGTCATACCACATGAGATTAATTAATCAATATTCACTATATCATCTACAATAGAACAGATGATAAAATCAAAAGTTAGTTCGTGTCAATACCGATTTGTTGAAGTGCATTGGGAAATGATTTTTCTCCTGAAATAAGCCGGGTTATAAGTATCCGATGATCAAAATAAATGACCTTATTTCTGTTTAATACAGTACTGATATATTGAGTCATTATATATAAAATGTTTGGTATTATAATTCTCTTCTGTCAGCACCTGATTCTTTGTCTATAATCATTCTGTATATTTCGCATGAGTTTGAAAAACATCGTAAGACTTTTATTATCATATCGAACTTTTGAGAACACTCACATCTTTGTGGTGTCCATCTTGGTTCTACATAATATACATTGTCATAATTGTATTGTTCTCCTAATGACTTAAATTATTATTTAAATGATTTCAAACATTCTGATATAGAATTCAATTTTGATATTCATTTTTAGAAATACATAAGTATCTACCTTTCAATTTTTTAATGATTCAATTATAAATTGGGGACAATTTTGCAATCTGTTATGAGTACATGTTTGAGTGATGAAATACTTTTTGATGTATCTGACAGAAAAAGGGGAAATAATCCAAAGATTGGACAAAAACAATCTTACAACAAACAGCAACAAATCAGACTGAATGATTGTTATATCGAGGCCATACTCGATTGCGATGTCAGTGTGAATGGAAACCAAGACAACCAATTGGATGACACAAGGCGTTTGACCAATGACAGAGAAGTGATGTACAGTCTTGCGCAATCTACTGCCAGTGCTCCTACGACTGAATCAGTAACAAAAACGACCGAGACTGATCACTATGGTTACGGTATACTTGGCGGGAAACGCACGGAAAATGATGATGAGGGCATGTACAGTCATGCCAAACAATGGTGTAACACAGGAGAATATGACACATTTGTCCGCAATGAAAGAGACACAGATGTAAATGATATATATGATCGCACTCGAGATTTTATACAAGAAGGTCAATATGATGAATTTCAGAGAAAGAAATAATGTAAAAAACTTCAATGGAATCTACTGAATAAAGGATGTATTAGACGATGTACATATTCCTGACGACTATTTCATAAAACATTATATCACCATTTACGTGTTTAGTAAAAGAATTTTTCTGTTTAGTATCACAATTTTTCTGTTTTATATCATCAATTTTGTATTTTGTATATCATTTTTTGTATTTAGTATCACCATATTTGTATTTAATATCACCACATTTGTATTTTATATCACCATTTTTGTGTTTAGTATGACAATTTGTGTTTTATATCAACATTTTTGTGTTTTATATCATCAATTTTGTATTTTGTATATCAATTTTTGTATTTAGTATCAAGATTTTGGTATTTAATATCACCATATTTGTATTTAATATCACCATATTTGTATTTTATATCACCATTTTTGTGTTTAGTATGACAATTTGTGTTTTATATCAACATTTTTGTGTTTTATATCATCAATTTTGTATTTTGTATATCAATTTTTGTATTAAGTATCAAGATTTTGGTATTTAATATCACCATATTTGTATTTAATATCACAATATTTGTATTTTATATTACCATTTTTGTATTTTATATCACCATTTTTGTGTTTAGTATGACAATTTGTGTTTTATATCAACATTTTTGTGTTTTATATCATCAATTTTGTATTTTGTATATCAATTTTTGTATTAAGTATCAAGATTTTGGTATTTAATATCACCATATTTGTATTTAATATCACAATATTTGTATTTTATATTACCATTTTTGTATTTTATATCACCATTTTTGTGTTTAGTATGACAATTTGTGTTTTATATCAACATTTTTGTGTTTAGTATGACAATTAGTGTTTTATATCAACATTTTTGTGTTTTTTATATATCACCATTTTTGACTGAATAGGAAAATAATGAAAACTTGCTACAGTAAATTATATAGGAAACAAATGTAGGACTTGTTACATACCAGTAATGTTGTAATATCAGTTCAGAGTGACGTGAAATCATGCAATTACTGACTAACCGCATACTTATTACATCAAACACTCAGAATAAGGGAATTTAAAAAAACTCACCTGACAATGGACCATGTGTTATTTCCTCATGGAAGTGACTCGTGCCTCTTTGGCCAAGAAATCTCCACAATATCATATGAAAATCATTGACATTTTAACATAAAATATTCCAAGAGGACCAGGAAAATATATAGCCTGATCAATTGGATAACTCAAGTACAGTGTCAGAGAAGAAGAAAATATTCGACAGGCAAAATCGGTTCTGAAGTAATATTAGACTGAGGAAAAATTCAACTGCAGAATAATGAAATATTTTCATAGAACGAGGCTTTTTCAACCTCTAAGTAATTTTTCAGCATAATTTGTATAATTTCCATTGGAAATATTTCAATTGGTTAGAATTATGAGTGAATGATGACGGCTTGATGGTATGCCCCTATTGCTCCTGGCTGACCGTCAAGGGCTGATGAGCGGGACCAAAACGGGTTAAATTGACTTAGATTTTAAAAATCTTTTTTTTAACACCCATGTATGGTAGAATCGAATCCTCTGTATGAATGGACACATCTTAAGGTGCTTTAATTACCGAAATTTGTTTCGCATTTCTTCATGGGAAGTAAAGCCTGTGCTGGCTTACTATATTCAGTGTCACAATTTCTGTTTCATAGCACTTGATAACTAACCTTTAACCTTTATATTCAATATTGCTTAGTCTCAGGTGACCGTCAGGGTTGTTGGGCCTCTTGTTTCTTCAGCTTTGTTACCACAATCCACTGTACACAGCTCCCGTAACGGTCCCGTAAACACGCTTACCTCTTTGGACTGTGGTAGCCAATGGTTTACCATCCTCACTTTTCAAACATTACAGGTTTGAAGTACGAAGTTCCTAGAAGGAATGGTAAAACGTTTTTTAAAATGTCCAAATCCTTTAATGTTCATGCTGTAGAAACATTCACTACTCGGAGCTGGAGATGGCCTTTCGACGACTCAAGACACTGTTGCTTCTCAGCCAAATGTGGTTAGATAAATTTCATCAGAATCGGTAACAAGATTTTTATTTGTAAACATTGGTAAAAAAAATATATACTAAAAGGATAAAGAAACGCAGAGTGAACTTTAAACAAGAAATTAAGTATGATATCGGGCTTCATTTAAAACGAAATTTTGTATACTTACAGATAAATTAAAGCTTAAAAATTTCCAAAGTCTTTATTTTGCATCTGACAACTGGTTTAGAGGTACTAACGATTAAATTGAATGGACCCATAGGATTTTGAAATTGAAATTAAACTAAAACATCAATATCTTGTGTGTCCGCCGTTTGCTGTGGTCACGGCCCTTATTCTTCTGGTCATAGAGTTCATGAGAGCGTTAATCCGTCTTATGGGGATGTTGTCCCACTCTTCAATCAGAGCTCTGGTCAACTGCTCTCGAGTAGCAGGGGGTGGCTGGCGCTTTCGAATCTGTCTATCCAACTGGTCCCAAAGATGCTCGATCGGGGACAAATCAGGGCTATATGGCGGCCAATCTAGTGGTTGAATGTTGTTGGCCCGAAAGACTTGGCAAATCCTTGCTACGTGGGGCCTAGCATTATCCTGCTGGAGGGTTAGATTATGCTGCTGTAAGAAAGGGATAACATGGGGTCGGAGGATCTCATCTCTATACTTAGCTGCTGTTAAATTGCCATCAATAACAACCAATTGTGATTTTAACCCGTGTGAGATTCCTCCCCACACCTTTACTGAACCGCCCCCAAACCGATCCCTCTCTACAACGCAAGCGTCCGTAAAACGTTCGCCACGACGTCGGTAGACACGTTGACGGCCGTCAGATCGATAAAGACAGAATCGAGACTCGTCCGTGAAGAAAATTTGTCTCCACTGCCTCAATGGAAACCGTCGTGGAGCATGTGCAGCGACCCAGGCCATACGACGCTGACGTCGAGCAGGGGTAAGGTGTGGACCTACGTAGGGGCGACGTGCTCTTACACCAACTTCTCGTAATCGATTCCTTACAGTTTTTAAATTATAGGACGCCCATGATTTTCACGAACATTAAGTGCACTCTCAACGGCAGTAAGGCGCCGATTACGCACATGAGAGACGACGATATAGCGATCCTGACGTCGTGACGTTACGCGCGGACGTCCTGACCTAGGTCGATCGGCCAATCGCCCAGTTTCCCGAAGACATCTTACAAGACGTTCTATGGTGGAAACATTAACATCAAAGTGCCTAGCAACCTGATTTTGCAGCTGTCCTTGCATCAGCATCTGAATGGCCTGACCCTCTGAACTTCTGTGAGTCGTGCCATTCTTAAAACGAATCAAATTCTCAATTAATTTCAGGGAAGCAGTTGGTCTGTATAAAGACTAACGAAGAGTGACTTAAGCAACTCTGCATGAGACAAGGACAACACGGTGCACGAGATTCTTGTTTTTTTCTTCCTCCATTTGCCAGAGCTGCGCATTGTACCGTGACTAAATTTTCGATACATGACAAGGTGTAATATGACCTAATTACTCAATCCACAAAGTTTCACTTTATTTGGAGAACACGTTTTCAAAATATCGGAATAAATATTACCCTGCGTTTCTTTATCCTTTCAGTATATATCTATAGAGGCTTTTGTGAAAAATTCAAATTGGCTGTTAATATCATTGAATATCATGGAATTTTCAATACTATACTAAGTTCATGGAAATTAATTTTATTCCAAAGAAATGAAGCCACTGCGACAAAACTGTGTAAATTTATTTAGTATTGAAAAGATTACAAAGTATTTTCCGTAAATATATAATTGCCGAAATCAGTTACAATTATACCAAAGTAAAGTCAAGAGACATGGCAGGAAAATTTTACATGTAGATATTCCCAAAGAATTCTTATGTAAGTTTTATTTAATTTTAAGGTATATTACATATGACACAAAGCTTCATAATTTTCAATCAAATTCTTTCATCGGTTACTTTATACCAATACTACATGGAATGTAAATTAGCGTAACAGAAAGGTGATTTTGTTAACGGGAGGAGAAACATTTTTACACTTTTAATGAGAATGTTGTCATATACAAACTATTTGCTAATCTTTGATATATCTTTAGAGGTCTAACTGTGAAACAGACATATGAGGAAACTCAATTATAATGCTGTATGACATTTTGGTAGTTGAAATGGAATATGAATTAAAGGGCCGGTTTCCAAAACGGCCCCTTCTCTGATTCAAATTTCCTGTTGGTGGTGCATTGCCCATGCCGTTGTGGTCACAAATCTATAAAGTATAAAGATTTAGGTCACTTGTTTGTTTTTTATGGCTCCTCAAAGTTGTACCTTTCAGAAGCTGTCTAAGTGTTGATAAAATGTGCATGTTATGTAAAATATTAATGAAAATCTAATCAAATGATAGTCACCGTAAAGAATACATGCATGGCATGATTGTGACAAAAAATCATGTTTCCATCGCGCCATTTGGCTGTTTTATGGAAGAAACAATCTCAAAAATGCCATTTTCAATGATAACATTTTAGACACAAAAACTGTGTTTTTTAGAGAATACACCCTTTTATGGGCGTTGGATGCAAACCAATTTTTATTCTATTAAATAGTACGTAATATGCTATTGATGAGAGGAAAAATCATCAAAATGTAAGTGGTGGAACATTTTCAAATGTTGGGTTGAATTAGCTTATGGTTGAATTGCCGATTTTCGACTTTCTTTACATAATTAACAAAAAAACGAGAGTATTTGCTCGGTATGTTGAGAATATGTACACAGATATGAAAAAAAAGTGAGAGAAACACTTTTTCATAAAAAAAATCCAAGATGGCTACTTCACAAGTCCCCGTGGTTGAAGACATTGGCTGACAAATAGACAGAACAACAAACAAAATGTGTTCCTTATGATTTTGGTTGGTTTTCGCATTTACGGGAGTGTTCATAGCTACGGGCGATTGTATAATACCTATATCTATAAGTTTGGTTAGTCACATGGTAACGGGGATCTTTCATATCGAGCCCCAAACATACTTTCGACATATGCACTCCGTTGCCGCAAAACTATTTCAAGTTTTGTCGGAATTTCTTTACCTGTGGTTGTAATGGTCGAAGGTTTTCCAGCGTCCTGTAATACCCAAGGTAGTACAAGATACTGCAGATGTGCGCACACATTCCCATCGTTCTCTCTCCAACTGGG